TTTTAGTTGTCAATTATTTCCTACATTATGCATTTCCAAGGGACAAAAGTACGGATATGCTTTTTTTGAAGGATAATTCAACGTGTTTAAAAAGACATTTTGAGAATTCTCAAAGATGTCTGTCACTTCCTGTGAAGTCAGATGGGGTGGTGCCACTCCATCCTGAGCTGCTGCTTGGCTTCCATGAGGAGAAAAAAATTAAAGGTGCTGACGGCATACAACTCGGGCAGAATTTTTAGATGCCTGCATCTGCATTTAAATGTTTAAATTGAAAATCTGTCAAAATCAATGTACAGGGTTATATTTTCACTTTCAGCTTCAACTATAGTTCATCTGTGCTATTTTTTGTATCAATCAATTTAAAATTTCTCTTTCATAGTGTCTAGTTATGAGTCTTGCTTTCCTGCCTTCAATTTTCTGTTTAGTTAGAACTGTTGCTATTATTGCTGAATGTTGGGATTTTAAAGAATAGATAAAAGAATACTCATTTAAATTGAAGCCATGCGTAGGGGGTTCTTAGATTTGTTACTGTTTTTTTCCATTGCAACAGTTCTGGCTGCAGCTGCTTCTGTACAACCACTTGCAACACAGTGCTTCCAGCTTTCCAACATGTTTAATCCTCAAACGTAAGTGATTTATCATTGTCTGTTTCTTTGGCATTTGTTGATGACTTTAACATCTGAGAAAGGAATCAGAATGTTGCAGAGGGTTTTTTTGATGGGTTTCGGGGTGGATTTTGTTCGAGTGATAACAATTCCATCTCTGTCCTGTTCTTCCTCCACCCCCTACAGTGAAGAAGAAGCTGGCTGGGATACGGAAATCAAAGATGATGTGATTGAGGAATGTAACAAACACGGAGGAGTTATCCACATCTATGTAGACAAAAACTCAGCTCAGGTATGCCTGGTTCCAAGGAGACACTGAGCAGGTTTTAGGAGTTTTGTTGCGTTGTAGTATATAGAGGGAGCATTACAAATACCTTTTTTTTTTTTACTAAACTGAATCTAAATTTCTTGACGTTTCTTTGCAGTTTTTGCAGAATGTAGGTGACCCTCCTGTTTTGAGTCATTGTGTGTAAATCGAATGCAGGTATGAGAGCAGTTTTCTAGTGCGGCAGTCTGCTCTTACAGATTTACAGAGCTGGTTACTGTGGAAATACAGGCTGAAGAGTAGTGACCTCTTTAGTTCTGGCATTTGGCTTTTCCCTTAAGCTGTGCGTTTCCCAAAAGCCAGGGCCTTCCAGTTTCTTCTATTTCTAGAGAATACGGGCTTTAGCACTAAGGACACCCTGCTCCAGCAGACTTGAGATGTGCAGTTAAATGTGTGCCTAATCCCATGCTTGGAAACAGTTGTGTTCACTAGTAATATTGAAGTCTTGCAGTGGGCAGTAGGAGTGCCTAGAGTTATAACAGGGAGGAAGGAAAAAGGGCTACTGATGCAGACTTAATTACAGGTTAATGCCTTTTTGAGGAACTGTCAGCCTGCATCTTAAAAAGGCTAATACATTTTTCTTCTGTGTTCACTTTGTTTACACAATCCCCATTCTGGTTCGTCTGTAAAGACACTTGGCCATCCTGAACACCTTTATATAAAATTCACAGCCCAAACTGAAGTATAGTTTTCAAATGCTCTCATAGTCAGATTAATTTCTAACCATCAGACCCTGGAAGTGTCCTGTTGTGTTCCATTCCACTGTGTGAGGCTGAAATCTACACTGCTGTCCCTGTCAGTATTGCTTAGATGGGATTGTTCTGCCCCGGTAACGCACTTGGCGCTCACAAACCTGTGTTATCACTGTGCTGCTTCTACAGAAGGCTCCTGTCACCTGAACCCCTTTCACCTGGATTACTGAGATGTTAATGAGGGATGAGCTGCAGTCTAGTACATAAAACAACATACAATCTTCCCTAGCATTTTGTAATCTTTAAGATCACTGCTGTGTTGGACTACTGGGCTGATGAGAGGTAGAAACCTTTCCTGCAGTATATTAGTCTATTACTATCTTAAAGAAAACAAAGTGTCCTTTGACAGATGGGGGGAGAACCACAACAAAAAACCCAACACACAAACCCCCAAAAAACCACCACCCCTAGCCCCCCCAAAAACCGCAACAGCCCTCAACATACCTCACATAAGTTCTGAGCACGCAGAGCTGCAAATCTGGTTCACATTAGCAAGTGGATTTAAAAGAAAAAACTACAGCTACTATATCATGAGTTAGCTGTTTGTTACATGAAATCCATTTTGTCACAGTAGCACAATGATGACCCAGATATAAAATACCCACTGATATTTAAAAATACTGTATTTGAACATAAGTTTCCACTGTGCTGTTCTGTTTTCCAGGCTTAGATTCTGGACACATTATCTTTTAAATGTTTTCATCTCACATCTTTTTAGGGCTCTTTCCCAGACAGCCAGACTTCCCAGGCTAAGGGCTGTCACTCATCGGCCATGAAGATGTGATTTGTTGTGGGTGAAAAGGTTGCAGTCCCAACTGAACACTTGGCCTCGTGTACTGCACCAGCCTACACACACTGTGGTGTGTTAAGGAAAACTAAAGCTTTATGCTGCTGTATCCCATTTCATTACAAATACCGCTCGGCTGTCTATACAGGGGGAAGCCGAGAACAGAACTGTGTGTGTTAATTGCTTAGTGCCTTAAACATCAGCCCCTGATCTCAAGTTTCCCCCCTGAGAAGGAAGGAGTTAGATCACAGTGGGAAGAGTTAGTACAGGCTGGCAAAGGCTGCTAAAGGGAAGGCTGGGTTCTGTTTCTTAATATATTCTTTTCCTGTAAAATCTGTTTCAGCTAGAAGCTGATCTGGTTCAAGAATTACTAGTAGTATTCTATTTTTAAGCAGGCAGCCAGAAAAATGCATACACATTACTGTGGGCGTCTGTATGTCTTGCAGTTGTTCAACGTGAATATTGCAGTACTCTGGATTAGGCTGGTTTAGTGCTTAATTTGCAGATAGAAAACTTCAGGTATCTTCAGCAAAGTTAAAAGATAAATCCGTCATTCACATTAGATACCATCTTAGGCTCTTCTTGCCCTGCTGTGATGGGTTTTTTCCCTTCGTCTCAGTCCTTGCTCAAGACAGACAGATGCTGAAGTTCGTGTAGGAGACTTTTTACAGTACCAGTCTTCCTTGAAGTGCTGGACATCCTTCCTGCCGCGGGGAATGGGGAGTGCTTAATCCCTTTGAAAACCAGACTGTGACCTTGCTTGTTCAGTTAAGCATTTGTGGTCAAAGTTGGTGATTTATAGAACTTGATGGCTAGCGTGCGGTAGAGGTAGCCAAACTCCTTGTGCTTTTCTGTTTCGCATGAGATTTGTAACAAGGAGCCATTAGATACTCTCTTGAAGGGTTATCAAGAGCAAGTAAGCAATCCATTACTTGTCGATTCCAGATGGAGCTCACATTTGGTCTGTTTTGCAAAATCCTGTTTAGAAAAGTTTCATGCTAAGATAAGTGTTGCAGTATGTAATGCATGGCAGTAAAAAACTGTCCACTGCTCCCTTTTCTCACGCTCATTCTGTATTATCGGTTGACACCAGTAGGCACGTAGCGAGGCAGGTTTGGCTCCGTCACAGCCACGCGAAGGAGTGTCTGAGAAGAGGCGATGTGGGATGTTTCTCAAGCTTCTAATGGACTGTAACACTTCTGTATTACAGGGCAACGTGTATGTCAAATGTCCCTCAATTGCTGCTGCCATTGCAGCTGTAAATGCATTGCATGGGAGGTGGTTTGCAGGTGAGTGGATTTCACGTAGAGACCTACCTTTGTTCATTAATTGCAGAAATGACCAAATACTGTTTTGTTTTTGTTTTTTTTTAATCTTCTGATTAGGTAAAATGATTACAGCAGCGTATGTACCTCTTCCAACGTACCATAGCCTCTTCCCAGATTCTATGACTGCAACCCAACTACTGGTTCCTGTTCGACGATGAAGATGGATTTAGTCAGTTTTGTACATAGTTATTTTTTGGAGGAAGATTGAGTTATCTTTTATTTAGATAAAACTAAAGGAGAGGATTTAATGTCATTTTGTGTACACTTCCTGCTACCTTTAAAAATAAAATGAAGTAAGCAGAAATGCAGTGTGTTCATTCTCCCTAACTAGCATTTCCACTGTATACAAAGCTGTTGACTTCTTGTTCTGCCTTGTAATTCTTGTACATTTACTAAGGTGATCTGTAGGAACTGAGAAGTAGCTCATAGAAAACAAGTTCTCTGTAAAAGGCAGATGGGACATAATGGCATTTTAGTGTTTCACAAGCCTTTCTTTTAATGCAGCAATTACATTTTACATTTCACTAAATGTAGGTGATCTGCTAAAGGTTAATATCAGAGATAGACTTTATGAAGGGACATATTTAGTGTTTTGTATAAATGGAAGATTCAAAAGGCTACTGAAAGCTGACTCTAGACAGCCACTCAGCTTGCTTTGTGCTGAATAATTGGTAAGAATAGAAGGATTGAAGGGTTTTATTTCTTGATGGTAACTTTTGATTAATGTATCTGTAAAAGTTTCTTTGTAAATACTGTGTGAGGTGTGTCTAAGTTTCCAAACAAAACGATCTCTGCATTTCCAGATAAGTTTCTATGTATGCAGTGTGGCACAGTTGAAGGATTTCAGCCGAGTCTGAAAATTGGTAGGAAATACAGAAACATGTTTTGTTCTGGTTGCATATAATCTTTGCTCTTTTTAAGCTCTGTGAGCTCTGAAATATATTTTTGGGTTACTTCAGTGTGTTTGACAAGACAGCTTGATATTTCTATCAAACAAAGACTTTCATATTGCAACAATCTTTGTAAGAACCACTCAAATAAAATTCTCTTAAAAAGGCCTTCATGAAGCTTCATTTCTCTGCTCTCCTAATGTGACTTAAGCGCTGCGTGCTGAAGACTGGTGGTGAGATGCTGGCTGTGCGGAATACCGCTCCTCCAGGAGAAAATGCAGGAGCTGGTTCCTGCTGTTCTGAACCCTCTGCGTTCTGCAGCTGTGGTTGGTAAGGGCCCGTGGGTTTTCTCACTGCCCTTTCTCAGGCCTGCTGCAGATTCATTCCAGAGATAACTCCCCCCCTGCCCACCTCTGCCCCCATCTTTCACAAATGGTTGTGAATCGGGGGGATGTAGGAGTAATTTATGTTGGCTTTTAGTCTGGTTTCTGTAGGGAAGCCTGCCCAAGTGGATTGCCCTCTCAGCACCCCTTTCCCACCTCCCTGTCGCTTTTAAGCACTGGCTAATAAGAGCTGTGTTTGAAAGGTGTAGAGAGCTGTTCCACCCAGGTGGGTGGAGATGGGCTGGGCAGGGATTGCTGCCAGTGCTCTGAGACAGCGTGGTGGTGACCTGGTCTCCAGCCTCTCGGGCGCTGCCGTTCGGGGCGTATGTAGCTGCGGCTGAGCTGCCGCACGGCAAGAGACTCTCTTCAGCGATCCAGGAGGAAACGGGACTGGGCGACTGGAGGCAGTACAAAGGCAGACGTGGGGAGGGGCCCGGAGTGTACCACGGGAGATGTCTTAGGACCACGTGACACAGCTGAAGAAAGCCAAGCAAAGCTGCTCTCTAGTTTTGCTTGACCTTATTTTTTTTCAGTTGTCAGTATCAATCCACCAGTGCTGGTTGGAGTAAAACTCGAGCTGTTCCAGAGCAGTTGTGTTGCTCAACTTAGTTGTTGGCAGAGTTTCTCTCTCTGAGGTTGCTGAGCCGCATGACAGCAGAGAGCAGGCTTTCAGTGGCAGGTTTGTGATTCTCCCTTAGAAACGGGAAAAGGCACTTGTGCTAGGCAGAGGCTGTATAGGTGCTGGTTCAGGTGCTGCTGCTAACCTGTCCTCTTACATCCTTAAACAGAAATAAAGGAGGAGCAAAGAGAAGCCTTGCTCCAAAAGGCAAATAACGGGAGATTGCAACACTAAATCAAACGTTTCATAGTTCAGCTGCAGGCGGTGCTACAGGGGCTGGTGAACGGTAGGGAGTGATGCCCTGTTCTCCCTGGGAAGCACTGCTGAGCACCTTGTAGACCCAGTAAGGCAGACAGGTTGTAGGAAAAGACTGTTTCTGGTAGCACGGCTCCTACAGGTGAAGCCCCCTTCCCTTGCTGAGGGAATGAAAAAAGCCACCGCCAGTTCCTATTGCTGGAGGCAGCCGCAACCACCGCTTCCGTCCGTCCCGTCTCTGGCAGGGCTGTACAGCAGCGCGCGCCGCGCCTCCCAGAGAGTGCGAGGCTGCACCCTCCAGAGCTGAGAAAGAGGCGGGTAGTCACGCTGTGCCGGTCTGTGCTGACAGTAACTTGCAGCACAGCTCGTCCTGAGGGGAGAGCTTTAGGAAGGGCATTGCTCAAGGCCTGACAAGGTTACATCTCCCACACCTGGTGTCAGTCATCCTTGTGACTCATCACAAAATACCTTCAGCTCCTCGTGTGACAGGAGCTGTCTTCTATTTTCCAGCCATCTAACAATTTCCAGCTCTAGTAGCGCAGCTGTACCCGTAACTGTGCTGTTCCCCAGCTGCTTCCTGCACCCGCGTCCTGCCAGGCTGGCTGGAGGAAGGTGTCTGAGCTGCTGTAGTTTGCCCTCAGTTGCAGAAGGACTTGCCCGCGTCCTTCTGGGGTCCCTCGCTCTCTGTGAGGGTGTTTGCCCCATATTACCTGGAACTCGGAAATGGGGCCAGCTTCAACCCACCTATTTTTGCAAGAGGAGAGAAATTTGAGAATTGATCTGAACTAGCCACAGAGTAACTCTCCTAGACTCAGGATGCACGAATGCAATGGAGCGGCTCCGCATCAACACACCGGGGAATGCGAGCTGCCCAAGTGCCAAGGGAGAAATATGCACGCTGTGCTTACGCCCGTGAAATAGGAACTTTAATATGTAGTACAAAGGATTATTAATTCTCATTGTCATGGGAGGAAAGTAGAAATTTGGTAAAAAGCATGTTTACAATCAGCAGAGCAAGGAGGGTGGTGCTTCACCATTTCATGAAGAGCTCTCACTTCCAGGTATCTAAAGACTTTATTATGGTACCGAGGAGGAATGGCTGGACGGGGGCACTCCAGGTTAAAACCCAAGCTCCAGGTTAGCAGCGGATTCCCATACCAATAGCCATGAATGTCCCAAACGTCCCACCGCTTTGCATCATTGTTTTGCCAACTCCACCCATCAGCTCTCGTCCTCTCATGCCAATCCTGAGATAAAGAAAAAACACAGGAATTATATAAAAGCTGAAGCCTGGCAGGTAACAGACATGCAGCAGAAAACATCTGATACAACCAGCTAATGGTTGCCTGAGCGCCCAAATCAAACACCTCCTCTTCAGTCTAAATTGAAAATGGTATCGCCTGCCTCCGCAAGGAGACTGGCTGCGGTGCCCCGTGCCTGAGCTACTGCAAACAAAAACGGAGCTGTTCTCTTTGGGGCACTCGAGTGACCCTTGCCAATGGCCCACGTGTATTTTTTCCTGCAGCGGTAGCAGCTGACGCTGTACCCTCCTGCCACACCATTAGCAGGAACAGCTTTACCTGCTAACGCCCCAAATACCCTCAATTTGGGGGAAAAAAATAAATGGTGCTGTCCAAGTATTTGACTTGCCTGAGAATAAAAAGGGTCTGAGCTGTTGTATTACCATCCTGTCTGGCTGCAGTGGCAGTATTTTTAATACCACCAACTTAGGAATTTAGTTTGCAACATGGTTTTATTTACCACTGACACCATATTTTTAATACGAGAGAAACTTGAAAGGCCTAGAAGTGTCCAGAGGCATTTCTGTTCTCCACTTCCCATTTACCTGAGGTCAGACCAAAACAAAAAGAATTGTTCCTTCTCAGGAAGCTCTCGTATTTGGCTTTTAAGCACTGCAGTGACTGTAGGGTCTGAGGAATTTCACGCACTTGATTTTTAAAACATGGAGATTTTCCCTCAAAAATGGTACAGCAGAAGTAACGTAGCTGTGTCATTCAAGTACGACAGAATCACTGTCGCCGCTTCCTCTAAATACCTAAATCTAAATCTGTATTTTCTGCTAGCATTGTACCGCTTACAAGTATTCTCCAGGATCTGAGAGAGAGCGGAAAACTTTTCAAACTCTATCAGATTAGACTTTGCGCCTTTTTCTCCTTTTAGGCTCACTACCAAACCATCACCCATGTTTAATCACAGATTGAAAAACCTCAAGCAAAAAGAGTTCTGCAAAATATGAAAGAGCTTATTTCAGTAATTGCTTTTCATGGATCCTGTGTGCCAAAACCAGTCAGTGAGCAGCGCAAGAGCTAGCTTGGAGCAGCAAGCATTGTTTGTTTCCGTGCCGGCACGCCGGGGAGTGCTGCGGGAAGGTGGAATATTGTCCCTCCCCGATTCACAATGGGATTGTGCCGGTGCCAGCCACAGCTCTGCCTACGCTCTTGCAAATAATAAGGCTCGGGGTCAGTACGGTAATTGCCTCCGTGCAGGGGGATGGGGCACCCAAAGCAACCACGATGCAAATACCCGAGAGCTTGCAGAGTACCTCGGGAAGCTTTAGAGCGAGGAGAGGGCTGCACGTGTATCTGCACAGACAATTCACCCAGCTCCTCCTGGAGCCGACCTTCCACAGTCTCAGCTTCCCAACACAACCTCCCTTAGGAGCGGCAGGAAAAGGTCTGCGAAACTGCGATCTCCTTGTACTCAGCTGACCCAGGGGCGATGTCCCGCCATTGTCAGACTTTCCTGTCTGAGGCCGGGGCTGACAGCAGGCTCTCGAACTGTGGCTAATTCGGAGCCGCTGGCGAAGTTTCACCTATGTGACGACACAGGGCCAGACCCGCACCTCCCTTCCCAACCCCAGAGCGGGAGCGTTTCTCTCTGGCTATCGCTCTGTCACAACCTGTCCACAATAGCCTTTTCCTTGGCATACCTGAGGCAGGAAAATGTGCCGAACAGCGCTCCTGCTGCCATGCCCACTGCAAAGCCCATCATGAAACCCATCTTTACTCTGTCAAAGCAGCTGGGCTGCGATTGCCCGTACGGGCCCACGGTCACAGGCATCTAGAGAAGAAAGCACAAAAAACCGCATGGATTTACTGCTCTGTCTAACAGGCTTCTATAACCAAACCGGGCTGAAGAGCAGGCCCGCACGTTTCGGAGCCTCTTGTAAGGGTAGTGCCGGAGGCGTTGCAGGCTTTCAGACTTGTTTCCTCGCCTGCCAAGTAAGGAAAGACAGCGAGGGATGCCAGTGCCTTGATGACGGCCCCGTTTCTCCCTCGGCAAGCCCCGGTGAGCGCCGCTATGTCTCCGAGGGCCGTTTCGGGACCTCGCTCCGTGCTCTTCAGCTCCCAACGAGCAGCGCGCGGCGCCACCTGGCAAAGCCTCCGCCGCCGGGCCC